TGAGTGCACCAGGACAGCAGCTCACACACAATTGGAGCTCTCAGGGATAAAGAAAAATCTATTCTCGACATCTGCACTCTCCAGTTTGGTTCTTTCCCAACAACTCATAGATTCCAAAACACAGACGAAACGATTTTGAAATAACTGATGTCACATGTCACTCTGGTTTGAGCCTGAGGGAGGAAAGTCAATGTAACTGAAAAGCAAATAGTCTAATGAAACGATAATTGGGCCGTTCAAAATCTTGTAAAGGACGGGATTGTCCCAAGTCCAAACCAAACTGGACTGAATGACTCCAGTCCTAATGACCATATTATTTCCAGGTCACAGGTCAATGTTCTCACACATGACGCCGTGTGAAGCGGAGACACTCACATTCTCAAATTTCACATCAATATTTGAGTCTGTGAACACCTCACACAGACGCAGATATGGTTACACACATGAACACACATCATGTTTATTTAATGCTCATTTGTGCCGTTGCAAATTGAGTAGCAAAAATTCTGTCACAGTAAAGTTATTTATGGAAACTTTTTTTGAGCTTCAAACTAAAGTACAGCATTGTTCCCTCATCATCAAAAGAGACCTGGAGCTGTTTTTAGATTTATCCACGCTCATGTTAGACACTTCTGGCACGAATATGTAACTCCGCCCCCTCCTTCATGCGACCTCAGAAACTCAGAAGTTCCAACTTGCCACTAGAAAAAATACCAATGAACGTTGCCCAAGTCGTAAATTCAACTTGGATCAATGAGTTCCAGGTTTCCAATCCGACACGGGGCAGATTGTTATTGGATAAAAGAACAGAGAAAAACTGAGACGGGATGTGATGGGGGCGACAGTAGCTCAGTTGGTAGAGCATTGGCCTTAAGGCCAGAAGGTCGTGGGTTCAATTCCCACCTCTGCACCTTCTCCATCGACTCCCACTGATGACTGCTGTCGTTGTGTCCTTGGGCAAGACACTTAACCCCACTTTGCCCAAAAAGCCCCCACTGAAAGATCAAGGCTATGCTCACAGTCAGAGAGCAGCCGTCCTCCTGTGGACTCACCACCTGCAGAGGGTCAGTGAGGGGCTGGTGCTATGAGACTTGGGTGGCATCTCTGACTGCCACCCCCCTGACCCAGAAATGGATTAAAGGGTAGAAAATGGATGGATGGATGGATGGGATGTGATGTTTTTTGAGGTTGTTAGATTTTCTATATAAAACACTTTGATGAGAATGACTTTGTTTTGTTAATAACGGCTGCAGTTTCATGTCTGTATACGTTTCAGCTGGTGGTGTGTCATGTGACTGTTTTCAATGCCAAAGGTGTGTCAAAAAAGGTTGGGGAACACTGCCCTGCTTCATTCATGGTGCAGTATTCATTTATTTGAGTTTCTGCCGGAAAAAATGTGAAATAAAGAATTAGTGCAAAAATAAAAGTATGTTTGTGGAAAAAAACTCATCAAGTTCACCTCTCTATGTCCAGTTTTCATCCAGTAATCTGCGTTTCGTGATCCTTTCCCACTATGTCCACAAGAGAGAGACAATTCAAGAGAAATGATAACGATTCTTTATTTCATTTCAATATATTTTAGGTCTAAAACACAACTTATTTTATGATAGTTAAATTAAGTTATGATAAGGTAAATAAGGGGAATTGTAGCAGATATATATCATCACTGTAGGGCGTTTCTGAACAAGAAGGTCCTGGGTCAGGATCCGGGTTAGCATAGGGCCTCTCTGAGTTTGCATGTTCTCCCAAACACAATCCCTATTCAACAACTTGCTGCTTCAGTCGTTTTAGGTCCAGACTATAAGCCGCACCGGATTATAAACCACAACCATCCCACGCTGTGGTATTGAAAAATGTGGCTCTAAACTTTCCTCTTATTACAGTAAGAAGTGAATCACTGACTGTTCTTAATCTTCCAGAGAAAGGAGAAAGGAAAGAGCAACATCTACTGGTCTCTTTTCACTTTTATGTCTATACAGAGAACCAAAAAACTATTGATTCGTTTTTTATATAGTATTTCACATGTTGAGTACAAATGACTGATTGACATATCATACAATTTTTTTTTTTTTTTGGTGCCACAGAAAAAATGAATAACTAATAAATTAAGCTGCACCTTAGTATAGGCTGCAGAGTTCAAAGTGCAGAAAAAACGTTATATTATAGTCTGCAATTTACGGTATTATTATCAAGTTTATAATTTGAACTTGAAATATTTGCACTCCAAAACATTGTAAAGCGCTTTGGATGAGCTGGGTCTGTGAAATGCACTATAAAAATAAAGATGACTTACTTACTTTAAACTATTAAAACATAAATCACCGAATCATAGTCAGAGACATGCCCCAGGCCTCGGCTAAAAACGTACTATTTGTTACATTTCTAAATATTATTGTTTGACAATTCAATCCCCAAAACAAATGACTTGCAATAATATTTTAATTCAAAATGAAACACAAAATAGACAGTGAGAAATGTGAGAGGAGACGAACGGCAAGTGAAAAAACAAAATTACAAGAAACTTTAAAAACAGAATAAAGGCAGCTTGTCCATCGTAACCAGACCCTTCTACACACGGTCACCAGGAACACTGTGGCATCTCTGAATCTACCATATATATGAGTGCACAAGAAAAATACCAGTTATTTTGGGACTTGTGCTGTGTATTGCTACATTACAAGAACTATAGACATGAGAAGTTATGAATGAGGCCTTATTGACAATTATATCTTTTGAATGGTTAAATATTCTCAAAACAGCACTATATAAACATATATCCTTATTTTGCACATTTCTGTTTATTATAATGATACAAATTTTGATGATATATAATACCATACCAATACGTACATTAGTTTGATCTAATCCGTTTTACTTACGAGTGCAGGTGTGTCCATCAAGTGTGGAATCGTTTGCAGCAGTCCAAATTATTGGGTTTGAGTCAAAGAAAACAGCAGAAAATAAATAATTTTGGGATAAGTACAATTCTTAGACCTGTAAATGTAAATGTGCACTTTATTGTCCCTGTAGGTAAATTTGCGCTCTGCATTTGACCCATCCTGATGCCACTAAGGCTTTTCATCAGGAGCAAAGTTCATGACCTCCGTCTATTTTCTTCAGTATTATCTGTTCCCGCGGGCTGTGGGGACAGCAGTCTAAACAGAGGTGGACTAGTGGACTAGAGGTGGACCAGGGAAATCCTGGATCTTCCTCTGGTCTCCCCCTAGGGAGAAGTCCAGGAGATATCCAGATCAGATGCCAGGACCACTTCAACTGACTCCTCTGTGGAGAAGCAGCGGCTCTACTCCAAGCTCCTCCCGTGTGACTGAACTCATTATCCAAAGTTCATGACCAGAGGTGAGGGAGGGAATGAAAGATTGGCCGGTGAATTGAGAGCTTTGCCTTTTGCAGCTCCCTCTTCCCCACAACAGTCCGATACAGCTCTGACTGCAGGCGCTGCTCCCTCTACACCACAACAGTCAACATTACTGCACTGATCTGTCTGTTTATTCTTAATATTCAGATATTTCTGCATCATGTTATAAACAAAACACCAGCACTGTGACCGCATTCCTCAAAGGATATCTACTGGTGGAACAGAAATAATTTAATGTAAAAATACATTTCATTTACTACTCGCAACCAATTATAACTGAGCTCGTATTAACACTAAAACCAAATAAATGTCCTCAATCATTTCACACAAACACAGGTGTTGTAGAAAAACCTGTTACAGTTTTCTCTTGGCACTAAAGACTTCTGGCACTGGTGAGTAAACAGCTGGTCGTAGATGAGATCATAAGTATTCCTAGCTTTAGCTTTTATTAAACTGATTCTATAGTTCTGTAGAAACATGTCATCGTACAGCATTAGACAAAAGTCATTTTCTTGTGCACATAACGAAGCATCTCCACACTGCAGAAGTAATATCCACATGGGCTGAACTTAGGATTCAGAAGTAGTTTTATGGCTCAGGTGTGATTTAGTTCAAATGTATAAATTCTTGATTTTTATCCAAATCACTTGTTCTATGCATTTTTAAGAGGAGGATTTTTTTCACATTCTAGAATAAAACAAATGGAAATCACCACAAAAGTCTAAACCAGGGGTGGATAAATATTTTCTCTGAGGGGCACAGTGGGATATCTGGGTATTGTGGAAGGCCGGATCCATTTTCAGAATATTATGATTTTAATTTGGCAGAAAACATTAGTATTTGTGGAAAGTGAATTGCTCATCTTTTGTATCTGTGGCAATTACTTTTGTTTGAAGCCTTTATTAAAAAGATATGGAGGTTATTTGAGTATGAAATATTTCTATTCAATATGGGTTTGTCTATTATTTTCTTATGGTTGTTTTTCCTGGACACATGTTGAGCCAAATAAAGGTTTTAAATCACTTATTACGAATGAATACGTCTTGACTTCAATTCAATTACTTGAGCAAAATAAATGATGTGGTTGTTTACTTGAGGAAGAATAGTTTCAAAATCTCGTCTTAACACGCATTTTTCTCTCTGGTCTAAAGTTGTGTGGTCCTCTGTTTTATCAGTTTTATTTATTTTAATTATTTTATTTTTGAATTGGAATACTGGTATTGTATGTTTATTGTTATCACTTCATACATCATAATTGTTTTACTTATTCTATTGTTGATACATATAAAGCTGACAAACCTGTTTAATTAAATATGTCACTTTAATCTCTGTGCTGCACCTTCTTTTATAAAATGTGCAATATAAATAAAGTGGATTGGATGGTAAGTTGCCAAGCTTTCACTGGATTTAGACTCACTATTTAGAGGCAAAATAGACCATAGATATGTGAATGGTCTACTTTGAGTGAGATTTGCCCTGATCTGGTCTACACTAAACCAAGTTATAAAACCCACAAAATGTCCTCAGCCCCTCCATGTGTGCATGACTTCACAGAGTGTGGAAGAGACGACAGCTGATTGTAGATGTTCTCATACTGGGCCGCGATGCTGTGGAGGTGTCTTGTTCATGTGATGATATTGGGGCCGCGGCGTCCCGTCCGTTCATGGATGTTGGAGATTTTCAAAGCGATGGCGATAAGAGGACCCAGCACCACCTTCAAAAGAGAAAAATCTATCAAAACACGTCCGAGATGGGCCCAGAATAAATGTAAAAATGGCTACAGTTGCCAAAGTTTTATAAGCCATGTACCTGTGTCTCGCGGCTGTGTCTCTCTGGATCCCGTTCAAAACTCTCTGCGTAAATACGAACAGTGGCCCCGCCTCCTCCACCGCTACCACTCAGCCGGAACACCAACCGAGAGGCGTTACTAAAGATGATCCTCAAGCCCTGCACACAGCACACAGGGACACAGCACACAGGGACACGCCACACATGTGAGAGATGCATTAGTGGTAGTTTATTTGAGCAGTTTTGCCATGTACTTTTATAGATACATATCATTTCAAGAAAGAAAGCTCATGAGGAGAAGGCCTTCCCCGTTATCAATACGTTTAAGCGACTGCAAACAGATTCAGATTTTCACATGACATTTTTAACAACATTTCTTCTAATAATACTATGACGTGTGGTGCATTGAGATGTGACTTTCATGTGTTTGTAGATTAGACCATCAACTGGCCCTATGTAATAAAACATTCATTAAAAGACAGGTTACTTGCACAATGAAACATAAAAACATTACAACATGGACCTGTAATAAAACATTTGTGATTTTGTGAAGCTGCTTTTGGGTAACCAGAAAACCACACTGGAAATCACGATTCAAACCTATGTAAAATACTTTCAAATAAAATGACAATTATTGAGTAACAGTAACTCCACACTCCAAATAGATACATTGAGTTCTGAAAAGTATTTGTGTGATGTAAGAGATCATAAATATTGTCGTTTTGCTGATCTATACAAATCTGATATTGTCTCTAACACTGCACAAATTTTAAAGTTCTTCTGAACAAACAGGTGGCTGCAGTAAAGGGTCATCGCCACTGGAGATCAGTGTTCTTCCTCTAAACTTCCACTAAACCACAATCACACTCATCCATTTATTCAAACACTTCTAGACACAGAACACCTGGTGGGATGAAATAAACATGATAAAAAGTCCTTTCATAATAAACATTGAATATCCAATGTGTCCTAATTGTTACAATAAAAGCCTAACATCAGATTTCCACGCAGGAGTATTATCCGGTGATAAAGGCCTCCTGTCTGACAGCGAGCAGATAACACTGAAGTAAAGAGTCCATCGTGAAGGATTCCACTGATCCTCAAAGCTCCACGTCACACTATAACAATAAACTAAATACAACGGAGAATAGAAAAACTCAGAATTCTTATCTATATAATGAAGTATTAAGCAACCATATGAATAGCTTTTATACTGCACAAATCCAAATTATATATCCACAATATTTGGTGGTTTACGATACATTCTGTTTTTGGATCAAATATTTAGTCCATAAATGTAGTTCAATTAAAGTCAACTTGGTTTTTGTATAGCCAAAGCGTAGTTATTTTGGTGGGAAGAAACATTGAATTTGCCAACACAGATCAGAGAATCAAACAGTTCAAACACAAGAAGTACAATAATTAAAAACACATAAAGCCATTGGTCCATAAAGGGCAGATGACCAACGTCCACACATGTTGCTAAAGTCCATAGATGTTGTTCAATGTTGAGTAGTAATATATACGCCTTACATTTATTTAAAACAAATATCTAAATGGCTCCTATCAAAGAGGAATTTACCACATGTATTATTATTATTTCAGCCACAGCTCTAACCTCTTATAACCTCTCAGTTTATGGGCCGCTGAGCCAAAAGTAAAATAATAGCTGCTAATCTGGCCCTGGCTCGGTCCGGTTACATTCAAAGTGCTGGTGAGGATGGAGGGTGTTAATAAGAGACGTCCGAACTCTCTCCCCTCTTCCTCTGCATCCAGCGAGTAAGCACTGCACCGATAATAGCAAGTTAGAACAAAGCTGTGGGGCTAATAAAAAGCATGCATGTGTCGGAGACCGTGTGTGTCTGTCAGTCTGAGTAAAATACTTAGACAATGCAAAATGGCAACGGAGCAGAGGCGGCCATACCTCTGTCTGCTAATCCCCCATGTGCCATAGGGCCTTCTATTTTTGTGGGGTGCCGACACGGAATTCTCTCAACATGCGAAGAGCTTAGCCATGTTGATTGAAGTGTTGTGTGTTGGGGTTTGAAAGTGCAACAAAAACTAAAAGACTCAACATTCAACAACATTAATGGACTTTATCAACACTTATGGACATTGGCCAACTCCCACCTTTGGAGCTATACCTATGTGCTCTCTATTCTTTGTGTTTGAGCTGTTTGATTCTCTGATCTGTGTTGGCAAATTCAACGGTTTTGTAAAGTCCTTTGAGATAACTACTGTTGGGATTCAGGGCTATACAAGAATACATTGAATTGAATTGAAATAATAATACATAAAAACACAGACATGCAAATGAAAAGAGGTCTGATACTTTTCATCGACTACTCTACAGTTTTTATACACAAAGTATGACTAAAACAATAATCAGACATTTACCAAGTTGTCATACGAGACGATAAACAACAATAGTTTGAAGTCTTCTCTGTGGCAGATGATGGAAGGGCCAGTGTGTGAGCGGAACAACAGCTGATCTAAGTCTGTCCCCGAAGAATGCGGCTTCAATAACAGACAGCAGGACTCTGCTCTGTGGAGGATTACCTGAGAGGATAACATGCATTTGGAGCAAGCATCTACAGTAACCATGGCCACAGTCATAGCTTCACAGGGTTTTATTTAACTCTTAGCATGATAACACAGGCTCACACTGTCTGTGCCTTCAGTGCAGCACGGTCACAGCTGTCTCTGTACCATGAAAAGTCCTGAGGGGGTCTCGGATGAGGCGCTCTGAGTCCTTTCAGTTATTTTGACAAAAATTCTCTGGTTTAATTATTAAATTACCACGACTACACTTGTTCTTGTGAAGGCAACTTCAAAGAACTACATAGCCGAAGAAGAGAGCCAGCTGGTGAGAGTCACAGACCAGAGGAAAACTGCACACAGACCACAGTCCCAGAGTGCAGTGTGAGCAATGCAGGCATAAAGCCTTTTACAAACAGACTTTGCATCAGTGCTGTACATACTGTACATACCAGCAAAAGTTGTGTGACTTTAACATCTTCTATTTGAATTCAGCAGAATCGTCTTCGGAGCAGAGGGAGAGGGGTGCAGGGGGAGAGAGCAGTGACTGTTCATGCTCATAGCACAGCATTATAAAGTCTGATATGTTTCACCACTTGTTTCTGAACAAATGCAGATCTGACGCAGGTGAGGTGAAGCAGGAAAAAAGCACACTGCAAAAAATGATAAAGTATGCTTGAGTTGAGTGTTTTTTTATTTTTATTTGAGCACATGCTGAGTCTTAAAACAAGATTTACCAATGGGACAAAGCCATTTAGTCTTATTTCAAGACCTGCTTTATCTTTTCATTCATTGGGTAGACCTTTATTGTATATTTTTATATTTTAGCTTGTCCCATTGGTAAATCTTGTTAAGGGAGTCAGAATGTGCTCAAATGAAAACACATTTTGTCAAATTTGAGCAATTTTCACTTTTTGTAATGCCATAGGTGGAACGCATTGAGTTTCCACGGACAGCTCTACCTTGAGGCTCTGCACTAACAACTAAACTCTGAGAGGACATGCATGTTTTTTTAAAGGACTTAAGCTAGCAATCTGTGGATGTTTTCCCGTTAGGCCAAAAATGCCGGCGCAATGCTACCAAATTATCTGCACTTTCAGAAAATAACATTGTTGGAAAAACAATGGCAGCGTGCGAGGCCGGTGGTCAATGTGCATGAATCAGCCCGACAACTTAAATAAGAAGAGAAAACACCATCAGCACCATCGAATGCAGTGAAATGTCGACCGGTAACTCTCTTTGATGTACCCTGGCATTAGCATTAGCATGTTGGCACGTGCTCTGGCACATGTGGTATTGGACAGTGGTATTACAGACTAAACCACAATGTGATTTTAGGAGAGGTATAATATTACAGCCTGCAGCAGAGCAACAAAGCCTCCATATCTCTATTAACTGGATTAACTCACAGATTCGGGTGAGGAAAGGCAAAGGAGGACAATGACTGCATTTTTGACATGTTCTGTATGTAACATTTATAAAGTTCTAAATGGGAAACAGATGCTCTCCAATCAGGGACCTCACAATATCACCAGAGACACATACGAAACAGCACGTCCAAACTACATATTTCAAATATCCCCAAGCAGACATAAACTTGTGTGAACCAACTCACTGAGTTGTTACGGTTCATTTCAAATTTACATAAGAAATATTTATCTAATGATGTTCCTTCTGCTATAGACAACTTCACTATGGAGATCACAATATTTGTTGAGTTAAAAAGTGCTTTAAGATCATTCCATTTATTTTCGCGGATAAAAACACAAATCCAGTAAAAAACAAAAAAAATCCTCGGATTATTGCTGAAGCTTAAAATATGGATGTCTTTTAAATCAGAAATAGGTTTTGATGTTTTTTCACAACCAAAAAAAAGGCTAATATTTGGAAAAATGTATCTTAATTGTAGCATATTCTGACTGCCTTAAAATAAGATTTGCCAATGGGACAAGCCAAATTATCTTGTTTTAAAAAGAAACAAGAAATGTCTCCCTTGGAATGAGAAAATAAAGCAGCAGTTCTTAAAATAAGATGAAATGGTTTTGTTCCAAATCTTGTTTTAAGACAGTCAGAATGTACTCATTTGTATAGCGCCTTTCACAGACCAGGATCACAAAGCATTTCGGAATTAAAAACATACAGTAGAAATAGTACATATACAAGTCAGTTCCATAAAAACGAATATATAGAATAATCATAAACACACTTCAGATGAGGCAAGAAAGCGTTCCTAAACAAATAGGTCTTAAGATAAAATTCAGATTTAAAAAAACCCATTTGATTCAAGCAATTATTACCTCATATCCTATCACTTCTTACTGTGCATGTGTGTTAGAGAAGTTTGAACAATCACCTGGTTGCGAGCCACACTTCCATCCACTGGGTCGATGTATTCAAAGTTGTCGGCCTTCTCTACGTTGTACATGTGATCTCCTACGGCAAACTTCTGATACGCGAACGCCTTGTCCGAGATCACGCCCTCCAGATCCTTCATCAGGTAGAAGGCTGCACGCGGGTCCAGGCCCTCATAGTCAAATCTGCCATGTATTAGGAAAGAGATTTTTTATTTTTTTTTGCAGCCTTGTTTACACAGAAGACAAGCCTCCAATGAGTTTTGACTCCCATTCATTTGAATAGAGGCTAAATAGATCATTAGCCCAGGTCTACTACTGTATATCCATTTATCGTTGTAGCTGTAACTATTTTGGGCTTATTTTTTAATGTCTCCTACATTTTCTTTGCAATAATGAAGAGATAATTGCTATTTTGACAGTATGACGATACAAATTGGTTAGTAGACAGAGGAATAAGTCACTTCAAAGGCTACCTAACATAATGTACACTATAGGTCAATATGTAAATTGGCAACTAACAGCCTCTAACTAGAAAAAATATTATAATAAAATAATACCACATGACTAGCTGTTTTTTTATGGTCAGCAAAGAGGGAAGTCCCATCTCTCTTCAAGGTAATTTACCTGCAAACATAATGGCGCCCAAACTTAGCCCAGTGCTCCCGGACGATCTGCTCCACGCTTTGATTTCGAGCCGCCATTATAGACAACCACACCAACACCGACCACAGTCCATCCTTCTCCCGAATGTGGTCAGAACCTGCAAACAGAAAATTCACAAGGCATCATGTCCCAGTATACAGCTACAGCAGGGAAATAAAATGTTATGGCTGTCTCAAATGTTTTGTCATTGTCAATTCAATTCATTTTCTGAATTACAAGAGTAGTCATCTCGGAGGGCTTTACAAAACCATCAAAATTCGTCAAAACAGATCAGACAATCAAACCGTTCAAACACAAGAAATGTAATGATAAAAAGCATATAGAGTCATTGGTCCATAAGCAGTGGTTGACCAACGTCCATAAATGTTGATAAAGCCCAATAATTAAAGGCACGTTCACACTTCTTGGTCTTGGTCTGGCTTGGTCTGGTTTAGCTGGAGCAATTCTGGTTCTCCTGTGCCAACAATGCTTTATTTGCGGATGTAAAACTACCAAGCAAAAAAATAATTAGTCGATGCTATCTCAATAATCGATTAATTGTATGTGACCCATTAACAACATTAAAGAATTTGTTTGCCATTTGCAGTAAAACCACATTGGAAAAACAGTGCAAGACAACCCCAGTGTGCGCCAGATATTACACCCCAGAGCTCCTGGTTTTAACAGCCATGGGTTAAAACTTTTGAAAAAGATTTGTGAATCATTGTTTTCTCCAAGCCAACCAGACCAAAAACTGTGGTACGCACCAATTAGAGTTTAAGGCACAAAATAGATTCATTTGAAGACCAAAAAGGGATTTTAAGTTAAAGATAAGATAGTTTTGTTAAACAACGAGGAGCCCTGATTCTGTCATGGTCAAAACACTCACACACACATAGCATTAGAAAATACATATTTTGTCCTCCAGACTTCAAAATATATCTTTGAGGAAAGGGACTCATTTTTGGCCAAGATTTTCTTGGCAACGGTTGCCATGATCAAAATGAAGACACACACACACATACACACACACACACACACACACACACACACACACACACACACACACACACACACACACACAGAGGAGAACAGTTTTCCAAGCCAAGTTTGCCTACATTTAACACAAGAATTTTACAAAAGAATGAAAGAATGTTTAGCAACTTAATTCAATATCCTGCAGTAACTAAGACTTTTAAATTAACTATACAATGCAAACTGTATAACTGTTAAGTTTGTGTGCTATGGTGATACCTCAAAGGGAGTGATATTGAACCAGTCATTTTACACACAGTTCAAACAGTATTAATCAATGGTAGATTGCATTGGAAATCACACTGACCATATGTTAAAAATATTTAAGGATTTCATAATAATTTAGGTAAAGGGGCGATGGAGCTTTGTAACGTATCTGTTATGCAAGCCATAAAATGGCCAGCCCAAGTTGTTGCTCTTGTATGTATACAGAACATCCAAACATAAAAGATGCCTTCTCATCCCGCTCTCAGAACATAAACACACACACACACACACACACACACATAGGGAGTGCGTGGCTCCTCACTGGGGAACCATCAGTCGCTTTCCTCGACAGCTGCAGGCTTAGGTATCTGTTCAGGGGCACTTTGACATTTGATTGCAGTCAAGATGCTCGTAATGTTTCCTCCTTCACTCAGAGCCAAAAAATACAGAAAAGACACCATGGTAAACCCTAGTTGAGTCACATTGTGAATTAGCACAGGTTACCTGGAATTCTGTTTAGACTGGTGTCGGCCTGATTTAGTCCAGTTTTATTTCAATATTAGTCCTGTCTAGCCATGGCATAGATCTTTAGTCTGGTCCAACTTTGGTACTACTTTCAAATAAAAGCTATGACACATTTACTTTACTTTAGCACAACGGTCCATTTTTTACATAACAACTACAAGTTGTCCTAATTATTTTGAGTTCCTTTTCTAAAGTAAGAGAAATGTGTAAACTGTTTTTTTACGGAAGCATCTGTACTGCCACTCAGAAATAGGTCAGGTCAGAAATATTCCTATTTTCGATCAATGGCCAAATATTGAGAAAAGTGATTCTTCTAAATTACGATTATTGTATTAAAGGAATAGTTCACCGTTTTTACATACTGACATATGTTCTTACCTTACCTTAGACTAGTTAATACGTACCTGTCTGGTCTTAGTCCGTGCGCTCTGTCATGCAAACGGAGCAAAAGCGGGAGCACAAACGCAGCCTCCTCTGTATATTTTGTAGCACCAAAAGGTAGCTCCCGCTAGAAGCTACCAAACTCTTCCAAGTGTTCCCTATTAAATGTATATAGTTACGTGACGTGTTACACTGCAAAGTATAGTAACACAGAAATGTAACAGTCGATTTTCTCAGCGGATAAAACGGGTACTATATTGTGAGGCGTAGTAATCTGAGGGGCGCTACGTCCGCGCACTAACTTCTCTCCGTACTACAAGTCACGCTGCTTCAATTCGGGCGTTCTGCTCTCCCAAAATTCCATCCACTGAGCGGCGCTGTGATCAAAAAATGACACCGTTTGTTGCCCAGTTCACTTCCGGTTGATTTCATACAATGGCGAATATGGCTCACGAAAACAACAAGCAATTGACAGTGCCTGAATTGCGTGAAAGGTTGAAGCGAAAGGGTATTTGCAGTGTGGGAAAACGAAAGGAGGAATTGTTGTTGCTAGTTCAACGAGCGGATGGTGTTTATGAAGATTTAGAAGAAGATGACAGCGAGCAGAGTGAACGAAAACGGCTGTGTGTGCGAGTGACAGATGGTAACAATGAGAATGAAGTTCAGCTAAGAGGGAAGAATGTGAATTGGACGGATGATTTGCGCGATATGCCACTAGTTAGAGACGGGAATGTATTTGCATACAGAAAATGACGAAAACACTCAACCATTTAGAGAAAATGCGCCGGGCAGAGAGAACCGGAAGTTGCGAAGGCAAGTGTTACCCATAATGCAACGCAAAATTCAGTCGCTCCCCCGCCCATCGGATGGAATTTTGGGAGAGCAGAACGCCCGAATTGACGGAAGTGAGCGAGAGAGAAGTCTCCGGAGAGAAGTTAGTGCGCGGACGTAGCGCCCCTCAGATTACTACGCCTCACAATATAGTACCCGTTTTATCCGCTGAGAAAATCGACTGTTACATTTCTGTGTTACTATACTTTGCAGTGTAACACGTCACGTAACTATATACATTTAATAGGGAACACTTGGAAGAGTTTGGTAGCTTCTAGCGGGAGCTACCTTTTGGTGCTACAAAATATACAGAGGAGGCTGCGGTTGTGCTCCAGTTTTTGCTCCGTTTGCATGACAGTGCGCACGGACTAAGATCACACAGGTACGTATTAACTAGTCTAAGGTAAGGTAAGAACATATGTCAGTATGTAAAAACGGTGAACTATTCCTTTAACCCTTTAGGCACCACCTCTTTAAGAAATGTAATGTAAAAAAGAGATTGACCGTTTTGTAAGATATAGAGGACTATTAAAATTAGGAAATATGCCAAAGAAAAAGTAAAGAGTATGGAAATGTTTGTTGGATGCAAGGTTGCTGTATAGAAAGTGTCCAGGATTCAGGAGCTGTAGCAATTCTAGTCAGTGTTGTACATGTACAGGTCCAAAAGGGTCATGATTTGACTCCTAAGTCCATCTAAAAAGGTTCAGGATACAAACACATCCTGAATGAAGAGGAGTGAAAAAGTAGTAAGAGCCAACGCCGCTGGTGGTTTTACAGCTGCTCGGAAAGTGACAGTTGTGGTGCTTTTTCTGGACCACAAGCTCTGTCTACTTGTCTCTGTATCGCTGCATACTGTAAACTCTGTGTGTACAACTGTTGGAAAAACTGCAAAGATTAAGATTAAGAGATCCTTTATTTGTCCCGCACTGGAGAAATGTGGGTGTTGCATCACAAGTGACAGAGCAGTAGGAGTGAAGAGGACACAAACACAAAATAAGATATTGTGTGTATGGAATTAAGTTTTTTTTATTTATTTTTTTTTTATTAACTTTATTACATTTTAATACAATTACAAGAATGAAAACATAAAAGAAAGAAATAAAACAAAATTATATTCGAAATCTAATATATACGGTTTACAAATACAGTAGGAATTAAGTATAGCACAACTCTATACTTGAAAAATAAAACTAAATCTCAATCTTTAGCTGAATAGGAAACAAAGTATAACAAGTATTCATATAACATCTAAACATATAAAGTATGAACCTATATACTCTAGTGCAAATAAATAAAAATATAAATAAATAAATAAATTATATATATATATGTATGTGTATCTATAAATATATATATATATATTTATAGATACATCTGTAAAACAATCTAGTGGACGACTATTGAGTTAATAAGATCTGTGAGTTCAAATATTCAAATATATGAAACTACTGTACATGTTAGCAGCATGAAATACTACTGTACATGTTAGCAGCATAAAATACTACAGTACATGTTAGCAGAATTTGATACTACTGTACATGTTAGCAGAATGTAGTTTTACTGTAAATGTTAGCAGCCTGTAATACCACTGTACATGTTAGCAGCCTGTGATACTACTGTACATGTTAGCAGCCTGTGATACTACTGTACATGTTAGCAGCCTGTGATACTACTGTACATGTTAGCAGCATGAGGGTGTGATACAACTGTAATAATAAAAAAGAAAGAAGTAATGTAAGTAAGTAAGGTTTATTTATTAGTGCATTTTTCAGACCAAGGTCACCCAAAGCGCTTTACAATTGTTCAGACTTCAGATAGTTATTCCTTTCTCTCCACACGGTGATGACGGAAGCGAGTCGTCGAACACACTGGCGCATCAAAGCTCCAACCAACACCATCCATTCACTCACTCACTCATTATATTCATACCAATTGTGCATGTTGTGTAGGGGAAACTGGAGCACCCGGGGGAAACTTACGCCGACGCGGGAAGAACATGCAAACTCCACTCAGAAAGGCCCTGTTCGAACCCAGGACCTACTTGCTGAGAAGCAAGAGTGCTATCCACTCAGCCAAGTGCCGCCCATTGACGTAAAGTGACGTACTGTACTCATTTTCAAGGCACACACTTGCAAAGGT